GTACTCGTGTAAAGAAAAGCATTATTTGTCACACATTGCAGTGTCGTATCATTTACACGTAATTCGCGTTTGAACTCCGCCGTACAGAGAAGCAGCTCCGCGGAAAATTCAGCCGTGCCTAAGAAGTTAATACGTACGACGTCCATGTCCAAAGATATTCCTTGAACCGTGAATAGATGGTGATAGACTATAGACGTCAGACATCAGGTTTGGAGTTGAAATCAATGGAGACCGACGTTTAAACGCAGCGTCCCCTGAGGGAACGCGATCTCCGTGAACGTTCCGAGGGGTGACTCGATGCAATCGGGATAAGCCAGGACGCAGTCACCGCCAGATCTTCCCAATCGTTCCGCCTCCCGATACAATTGATCGACGCTCCGGTGAGTGGAATTAGCCGACCCCGGCGAGTCCTCGCTCGGTCTGATCAAGAAATTCCCGTTACATCTCATTGGCCATCGAACGCGTCAGGATAGAAAACGATCGATCGATCGATCGATCGTCGTCTAATCCTTTCGGACGCATTAAACGTGGATTACGATGATTAAAGATCAATTATGAATCTCGGCGCGATTGTTCCATCAGAGTGAAAATTTTGAATCTCGGCGCGATTGTACCATCAGAGTGAAAATTTTCAATGAGACGATGAATACGTGATTCGATTAATTCATCGTCGACGTCGCCGGTAGAAAAATTCAAAGCTGGGATTATCGAAACGAATGGTTGATAAGAAAAATTGTTCTTAAAGGCGTTTGACAAAGAGTAATTAAATGCTGGGACGGAATGACTAGTTGAGTGCATTATCTCGGTGTATTCGTGCTTCGTTACGCGACATACCGTCGTCCTATTTCCTCGTAAGCAGGCAGGACAGCCATTAGGGACTTGCAACGGAATTCATTAACCGGAAGTCTGCCGCTCAAGAAATGAATTTCGTTCGCTGAGAGGCAGTGACGAGTCAAAGCGCGATTCGTCGCGAAACTTCACTTACGTTAAAATTAAGTGGATCACCTCCTCGAGGATGTCCTCGCGTGTCCTGGCAAATGGTGTCTCCGCGAGCTCGCAAATGGTCCTTAACAGACACTCTCTACCGTCCCGCCAGCCGTGCCTGAAGAACAGAGACGATGGAACCGCTCAATTTTCATTTCCACCCGCTACCTCCGCACCGCCCCTATTTATTTCTACTTTTATTCCCGTTACCCTCTGCCCGTTCGCGTTAATTCACCCGGCTTCCTTTTCTCGCGACTCGACCGCAGGCAGGCGTGCAAGTAATTTTATTAGGAAGTCGCGCGGAGACCACGAGAGACGATATTGATTTTATAAAAGGGAATTCTTAAGCACGCTTCCTACCAGAGAAATTCATTATCCGACCTTCCTCTCCTGCCGACCGTTCGGCGGCTCTCCGCGAATAAAATTATGCGTCCTCTGTATTTCTTCGACGAATACAAATTTCGGATTACTCAGCGTCAGGCAAAAGATTCAACATGCGTTCTTCGAATGACTGATGATAGACTCTGTTATAATTGGTACACGCAAGTTTCGAGTAATGATAAAATCGATGACTCGTATTGAGGTGACTGCGACTGCTAATTCACCGGCATTGAACCAGCTAACGATCCGCTTCATGCGACATCAGGTTGTCTCGCGTCTCCTCGTCAGCCGCGAATCAACCCGGACACTTTCTTAACTTCCGTCCCTCCAACCTCGGGCTTGTTACTCCCAAGCTTCACTCCGTCTCCTCCGAGACAAAGTAATTGCCTTATGTCCCAATTAATTTACGTTCGAGTTCCCGTCTCTTTGCCTTAGCCCCTTTCCGTGTCTCTTTGATCTCGGCCCTGTTAATACTCGAATATTCCTTTGCTAAAACTGCCCCTCGTTGACCTTCTCAGAAACTATCATCGCTCTCTACAATATTTATCGTTAAATAATTCTGGGCGGAGTAAAAAAAAAA